TGGGAGAAAGAAAAAAAATGTTTTGACCGTTGGTGCTCATCCTAATTTTCGGCCTTGATGTAACAACATTCATAATTAAGTAAATGTAACACCCTTTTCATCCCGGTTACACTTTTCATTTGCCCTGTACGATGGGCGCTGTAAGTGATGAAAATGGGGGATGTTGGCTTATCTGGCACCCGCAGCTCACAGCCAAAGTGCGAGCGAGGCAGAAAGGGAGGGTGCACCGGTACCGGCGCTGTTGTTATTGGCATCTGGTGCTAGCTGCTCTAACGGATATTAGAAGAAGATGTTTCTACAATAATGTGGAGGGAGAGTCCTCTCCAGTCAGACTGAGAGGCTGATAACTACAGCTCAGTGAGGTAAAGGACTCTGAGTGTTTAGATAGTTCACTTTAGTCTAAGTTATCTCAGTGGGTCTCAAACGTTTTGATCACAATTTATGTAAACACATATTTCCAAGGCAATTTATACTATAGGACAGTAAACAAAACATATCGTTTTGGACTGGAGAGATAAAAAAATATGCATAAATAAAAAAGTAAGATATGAATGAACAACAAAAATAAAATATGTTACATTTATTTGTTATTGGCTATGGTAGGTTATTGGTTATGTTCACATACTTATTTAATCATTAAAATGTAAACCGATCTTTTTCATATGGGTGTTTAGAGTTGTACCCCCTAGATCTAGTCTCTAGTAATTCTGCTTAAAGTGCACCAGATTGAAGCATTTTACTTTAAAAGAAATGTATGCCTGAGAAGGCAGATATGCTTGTTTTTCTCAACAATAACTGCTTTTAAATGGGGGGGGATTTCCTTTAAAAGTTGGACTGTTGCACTGTTGTAGCTTCAGTGGTTCTCAGGTTACAGTTACATAGCAGTGAATATAAACAGACTGATTAATGTGAATATTACTGTAAACTAACCTTTATAAAAGTTTCTCGAATAAATGAAATTTTTTGTGGAAGAAGCATGTATCATTTTTTTACCCTGCCCCTCAAAGAATCGGAATCGAGAACCGTTAAGAACCGGAATCGAAAAGTAGAATCGGAATCAGAATCGTGGAAATTCAAACGATATCCAACCCTAGTTATGATTTCTTTTAATTTATGGGTCTATTCATGGACAGTTAGGAAGCCTCAGCCTGATGTGAAATGATTGAAAGACCTTTGATATGAGGGAGAAAAAAGGGAAACTTGGACTTTGGAGCTTCACACTGCAACTTGAGCACGTTAGTATGAGTGGCTGTATGTAATTGTGGAACGCCAAAATGAGCGGTGTTTAAATGGCTCACAGTAATTAACGACGTCTGTGTCCAGTCATGCAGCAGTAAATGAAAAGCCCAGTCTGCTGTGGTCTCCAGGGGAACATCATTATGCTTTCATAAAGTGATTAATAGCTTCTACTTTTTTTCAGAGACTCCTCTGATACTGTATAAATCACATCACTTGAGGACAGAGTGTATGCCTTCTTAAGACTGGCGGTGTTAGCGACCAGCATTGATCAGTGAGAGGGAAAGTCATGAGGCAACCTGAAAACAATAAAAAATATATTATTTTCTGAGCAGCAGAATAGATTTTTATACAGCAAACGTCTGTAATCTAATAACATTTGTTAATAGAAGTTGGCTTAAGTGCTTAACAGACCGGTTCCATTTTTTTGTGACATTTAAAGCCCATGTCATTAAATCAATCCAGTAAGTGAAAGGGCAGTGAGTCTTTCAATTAGCCCACCTGACTGATTAATTTGTGTGTGTGTGTGTGTGTGTGTGTGTGTGTGTGTGTGTGTGTGTGTGTGTGTGTGTGTGCATGCTCGCTCGCTCCATTGCAGTCTTCTAGTAAGGGCCTTTGAAGACGTTTTGGCCGGTTCACACTACTTCACAGCACTGCAAAAGGTTAAGATGCAGCTTAGAATTGGGTTAGTTTAGTTGTTTTGCAGCAGTGGATTTAGGTGTTAAGTTGTGATGGTGAGGTTTAACGGCCCGTCCACACAGCGGCGTGTGTTGTCGCTTGCCGGCGGGCGTGTCTGAAACTCGACCAACAACCAATCACATGAATCTCCCGCCCCTGACACACAAGCAGCGGTTTGATTGGCTAGAGCTTGTACTGGCATATGATTCGATTGGCTGACGCTTCTGCCGAGGCGTCAAAAGTTGAACATTGCTCAACTTTTGCAGCGAGCCACGCCAGCAAAGCTCCGCGTCGCTTCCCACAATGCAGTTTGGCGAAAAGTGATGTCACCCCATTCAAAGTGAATGGTGAAGCGTCAACGCACGCCGCTGTGTGGACGGGCCGTAAGGGGCTAAGATTAGGGAGAAGGAAGTAAGCATCAAAAGCGCTCCTTCGACAAAAATACAATGGATTTGACTTTTTGATTTTGGAATATTGCAGAAAGTTAGATCTTTGCAAATCACACTTTTTTTTTTTGGTGGTGGTCTAATGGACAGTGAGGTGGGCTGATGATCAGAAGGTTGCGAGTGCGGAGCCCCCACAAATAGAATCAAATGATGTGGGAAACACTGCAATAGCCTCAAGTAAAAACGGTCGCATGACATCATGTCACCACCGCTAAGCTAAAGAGCTATATTTATTCGCCTTGATGACGTTTAGTGGTCCCATTTAGTCACTTGTTAGCAACCACTGTTTTTATGACACATAGACATTTCAGATATTCAACAGTGGAGTATCTACCTGTGTGTTTACTATCGTAAAACAAAACGTGAAAAATCTATTGGGCGTGTGTTATCCACAGCCCTATTTGAGGCATTTAACCAGAAGTATGTTTTTGAAAACCAAAGCCAACTCGGAAATTTCTGGATTTGAGGACCCATTCCTGCACCACTCTATGGAAGACCTGTTAGTTTGTGTGTTTGTGCAGCATGGAATACCAGCATTTCTATAGAGTGGAACATTGTATCTCATTAAACTTCAGTTGATGTTTGGATGCTGGGCAAGTTTGTTTTGTGTCTCTGCATGTCTTTATTGATTGGTATTTGACCGAGTTCTTCATAACACAATTTTTGACTTTTGACATTTTAGTCTACATTCAAAAAAAGCCCCATTATGATGGTTTAACAGTAAATCGTATATTTACAAATGGCAGCATGGATTTTTGTTCACAAAATGTAAAAAAGGTATTACAGCTGATCAGATCAAGCTGGTCCATTGTGAGTCGGAGGCCATTTAAAAGTGTCAGTTGATGTATATTAAAAAAAAAAATGTTAAAGTGTTACATGGTTCTTATTTCCTCTGATCTCTGTTGATCTCATTAGCATGATTTTGAACACGTGTAGCAGAACGTCTAAAGCCCCCCCCTCCTTGTGTGTGCAGTGTCAAGCGGCCTGCAGGCATGTCGAGCATCATGAATCGTCTGGGTGGAAAGAAACTGAAGATGAGCACGCTGGAGAAGTCTAAGATGGACTGGGACGCTTTTAAATCGGAGGAAGGCATCACCGAGGAGCTGGCCATCCACAACCGTGGAAAAGAGGGGTAAGAGACCCTCACAGCACGAAAACCCTCTGATGGACAAAGAGTGTAAAACAGGCAGATACGATCTCTGAACAACACGACCTTTGATGTTCAGAATTCCCCGATGAGAAAGGCTTAGGAATACCTGTGAACAATGAAAATAAAACTTTCAATTCAAGAGTATCTATTTACTAGGATTATCTTGGATTAAAGTGCCTAATCGGGTTGGGGAAAATTGTGAAGGGGCAATTTTTTATAAATGTGACGAAGCAATAGTCTCAGAAAAGCTCAATAATAACATAAGTAACATGAGTCTATGCCTTGTGCACTGCTAAGATGGATAGATGGATACTTTATGTATCCCAAGTTTATTTAAATAATTTTGTCCATGCAGCATTTTAACTGTCAATCTACAAGAATTACAAAATTACTTAAAACATAATTAGAATACAATAAAAATAAAACACATTTTAAAACATTTTAATTTTTTTAATCAACTTTAAAACAAGTAAAAAAGACCTATATTCACAGGAGTATCTACACATTATAAAATATACAATATAGATTGGAATACTCTCCAAAATACCAATCTACTGAACATATAAACATAGTGTACTGTATCGTTAAAACATTTTGTACAGTAGCTTGAAATTTAGAGTAAAATTGTTAATTGCCATTCTGTGCCTCTCACTCACACACACACACACACACACACTCACTCACTCACTCACTCACTCACTCACTCACTCACTCACTCACTCACTCACAGATACATACTTAAAATGTACTTGTAACTTACCTTCCAACCAAGCATAAGGATGGGGGCTCATTTAAAAAAACACTTAGACACAACAGGAACTCAAGTCAATACACACACACACACACACACACACACACACACACACACACACACACACACACACACACACACACACACACACACACACACACACACACACACACACACACACATGCATTGCCAGTGTGTGCTTGTTCTGACAAAAGTAGGTGTGTGTGTGTGTGTGTGTGTGTGTGTGTGTGTGTGTGTGTGTGTGTGTGTGTGTGTGTGTGTGTGTGTGTGTGTGTGTGTGTGTGTGTGTGTGTGTGTGTGTGTGTGTGTGTGTGTGTGTAGGTATGTGGAGCGGAAGAGTTTCTTGGACCGCGTCGACCACCGGCAGTTCGAGAGAGAGAAAGCAGTGCGACAGAGCAACGTGAAACAATGACACAGTCCCTCAGAGCGGAGCAGATGTTCCTCTCTCTCTCTAATGACAAACTTGTTGTTCCCGGGTAAAGTGAGCTCAAACCGGTGCTGTGGCTCCACTCTATTTCAGGACGGATATTATTAGGCTGAGTTTGTGGGACGATGGGTTGCTGAGTTCTTCAAACTCAGCTTCAAACCTTCACACTAAGGGCATTTTCTGAAAGTGGTCACTCTTTCCTGTCTTACATCCACACAGGGCTGTTTTACAACTAGGACGTAGAGATCCAATCACAAGGATCTTAAGGAGGACTTCAATGTTTATTAACATGGGACACTGAATCTGCCTGCTCCACTGACATCATGACCATGTGGTTTCATGCACACAGGTGACCATCTTTCTGGGGACACTGTACAGAACACTGTATTTCTGATCAATACCACCATGGAGGTGTGATCAATCAAACTGCCTGTTATCCATCAGATGAGAGGGCCACACTGACTCCTGTCCCTCAGGGGCGGATCTGTCCTTTAGGAACACACAAGGACAGAGAGTGTTGAGAGGAGGACATCTTGTTTCTTCATGTAAATATTAGATATTCAATAAACACATTTTAAGTTTGCCGGTTGATTTGCTTTTTTTTCTGAGTTGCTTGCAGAAAGTGAAGAGTCTCTGTTCTAAGTGTGAAGCTGACTTCCATAGATCACATATGGAACCCCGAATTGATCAACAATAAATTATAATGCATAATGAAATGAGTAATTATAAACGAGTTGTGTAAAATGTAAAAAGAACCAAAACTCTTCAATGTTCTAAAATTCCATATAAGTACACTTGTCACGTAGCCTTTTTGTTGTAAGGTGTCCTTACATTTTATTTCTATTAACCAAAGTAAGTCTACATCTGTTTTTTGGTGCCTCTAGTGTGGTAAAATTAAAAAAGGCTTTTGGTAAACTACATTACTGTTCCTTACACACACACACACACACACACACACACACACACACACACACACACACACACACACACACACACACACACAGGTTTTTATGGTTGACAAGAGATTATCCTCACATTTGTTCCCCACGCATCTGTAGTAGTAGGCATCTCTTGTGTCATCATTTTATTCTGAAACAGCATTTACATCATCCTGGGACACTAAAAGTCCACTCCAATCAAAACATCTCAGCAGAGGTCATTCACTGTAACAGCTTCCTATAAACAACCGGTGGAGATAATCTCTTATAATAATAGAAACAACCAACAAGGTGCAATATGTTCCAGTTGGAGCAGATTAGGATTTATTAAAGGATATGAGCACTACATCAGCAAACTGATGTTGCAACCTCTGCCTCATGTTTTATTTTATTTACTTGATAGCCAGAGGGATGATCATTTTAACATGAAGCTGTAACTATTTATAGAGACGGGATAGCTTCACTAAATCTCTTGTGTGCAACCTGTTCCAGCGCAGTAGAGGTGGATTTGGGTTTCATACAGACCATCAGTTATGAGGGATTGATGTGCACTTGACAGTTTCATTTCCTTGATAAGACATGCATCAAATAAAAAAAATGTAATTTATCATTTATGACACAACCCAAAGATACACAGTTGGTCAGAACCACACCTGTCAATTAAGACAAAGTGCAATAGAGTGGTGCAGGAATGATTCCTAAAAACCTGGAAATGAGTCAGCATTTTACGACGTCTGGTTCCCTTCTCTGTCTTTTGAAAGTGTTTTTGGTTAAGTGCCTGAAATAAAGCCTGTGGTTATCACAAGTTGAAGAGAATTTCAAGTTTTGTTTTACGACATAAAATAGGCCAATAAATACTCCATTCGTATACTTCCGTAGCATCTTTGTGTCACAAAAAGGGCGGCTGCTAACAAGTAGCTTAATCAGACTACTAATTGTCTAACGCCAAACATTAGCCACCTTTAGCTTAGCCGTGGTGACGCATGGCCATGCAACTGGCATGTAAATGTTTATGGTCTAACTTTAGCTTTTTACTTTTGGTGATTGCATTTACAAAAATCATAAAAGTGATTTTGTGATTTTTTTGTTGTTTTGTGATTGTGCTTCGAATTGTTTTTTGACTTACATGTTTTTTTTGTAGGCGCTATAGACTCCAGTACACATTTGCATGTAGCTACTGGTGTTACTGGGCAAATATAAATGAGAATAGCTGCCTTTATTTAACCCTCAGCAGGGAGCCTGGATGTGTCACACAGACAGACAGACAGACAGACAGACAGACAGACACAAACACACACACACACACACATACCATGTATACATATCACTTCAGGGGACATTACATTGACTTACATGCATTTCCTGGAGACTTATCCTAACCTTAACCATAACCAACACATGCCTAACCCTAACCCTTACCCTTACCCTAACCCTAATCCTAAACCTAACCAAGTCTTCACCCTAAAATTAATGATTCCCTTCATGGGGACCTCCAATTTGTCCCCATAAGGGAAGCGAGTCCCCACACGTGATGACTGTGTAAACAGATTTAGGTCCCCACAAGTAAAGTAATGCTAGGCCACACACACACACGCACGCACACACACACACACACACACACACACACACACACACACACACACACACACACACACACACACACACACACACACAGAGAAAGCAGTATAGGGCTCAACTATGTATACCACACATCATTCTGACAACCTATCTAGATACTCCAATTATTATTTCACACTTCTGCATGTTATCAGAGGTGGGATTATTAATAACTCATATGATATGATTTGTGTCAGTAAATGAATCTGGGGCACATTGTTAAAATAAGCAGAAACATGCTACAAACTTCAGACATGACTTTACAAACAACAGCACCACGTCAAAAGATGGGATGGAATAGAAAATAATTAAAGGTAGTTCATCATGTAAATACATGTCAGACACTGTAGAAGGTAACGCAAATCAACATCACAGCTAACCATTTGTGGAACACAAAGTTCAGTTAATTTTCAAGAGTTTGCTAATAGATTATAACATTTTAATGAAACCACTGGCTGTGATTGTTAAAAATATACTCTCTTTAAAGTTGTCAATCTCACCCCTTCTTCTGCCTATAGGATATTATTTAATATTTACATTTTTAGATTGTTTGTGAAAACGTGTTCTTCTTTTATTGTACAGGAGACTGGTGACACAGGTCTTATTCCTCCAACCAGAAACATGCCAGAATAATGAGTGCTGCTGCGCATATTGAAAAAAATCTTAAATTTTTTTTTATCCTAACTTACTTAGTGGGAATCATAGTTTTGTTGACTTCCGTGACCTGGGTGGTAAGGAAACGATATAATGTTAAAGTGAAATAATGATTTAATTACAACTATTGTAATGTATTTTAAACATGTTGCAACTGTCCCCTGGGTAAGGGTCAGTTGCAGACAAATACTGAATGATATGTTATATGTTATCCTTTATAAATGGTATGGGAAATAAGCATATATTTAAATTAAATATTCCGGTCTAGACCGAATAGTCTCAGATAAACTGAGAGAAATGCAAAAAGTGTTTCCGTCCCCAGTCTCCCCTATCATGTTTAGAGTAGTAGGCCTACTGTTGTTCTGTGCATATAATCCATAATCCATAGTGTAATGTGATTAAAATCCCCTAAATACATTAGCAAAATAGTTGTCTGTAATATAAATCAAGTGTAATAAATGAGCATGCAACACATTAGTGTGTTCCTTTAAGGGGGGACCGTGCAGTTGGTTTTTAAGTGCAGGATGTGGAGTGTATGCGTGTAGCGGCGGGTAGCTAGCAGGCGGTCTCTTTAAATCTGGACTGGATCATCCCTGTGGGGGCACGCGCGGCAGCACACCGCGGCACAGAGGCGGTTCTCTCTGGCCTCACTCACGGTTCAGACCGGCTGTCAACACAACGGTGGAAGTCGCTTGACCTCCAGACTCGTCGCTTCGTCGTTTAAAAGCTTTTCTTGAAGCATTTCTGAAGGGTTTCGTGAAGGAATTCGTGAACGAAGCGAGGAGCGGCTGGTATAGAGGGAAGGCGGGAGACGGAGGAGAGACAGCCGGCTGTGCTGCACGTTCATGCGGCCGCACTGCTGCTTCTGCTGATGAGACATATGCTGGCTCTCTGAAGTCAAAGAGCCACACACCGCCCTACAGCTGGATGTTTGCCTCTCACACGGGGTGCAGTATGGACTGGCTGAAGCAGGACTGACACTTGAAGAAACCCTCGTTCTTGTGGAAAAGTAGCAATTTTGGAAAAGGACCACCGTGCGGTTGAAAGCCAGAGAGTGACAGCAGCAGCAAGATGTCTGTCCCTGTGAGTATGTCAGCCCTGGGGCTCCCAACATATTTGTATGTCCCCAAGTGTTTCATACCAGAGAGTCGAGACTATTTGTCTACACAGCACAGCAAGACTTAACACGTCCATTATTCAATGCAGCACACACCCAGTTATACACAGTGGTGGAAAGTACTAAGCTAAGTACATTTACTAAAATATTGTACTTTTTTTTTAAATATTTGTACTTCACTTGAGTATTTACATGTAATCCTGCTTTATTATTCTAATCCACTACATTTCAGAGGCCAATATTTTACATTTTACACATGCTATGCTAATAATGCAGTGCTTTACTACTAATCTACACAGTCATTCTATTATCCTAATTTGGTCCACATTGACCAACTACATTACTAAAATTATCTTAAATGTATAACAACAGGATCAAATAATAACCATAATAATATAATATTGTGAATAGAGCCATTCTGCATAACGAGTACTTTTGACACTTGAAGTTCATTGAGCTGATCATATTTCTGTACTTTATTCTGAAACGGGTCATTGTGCATAATGTGCACTTTAACTTTTTGACTAGTGCATTTTGATGCTATTACTTTTGTACTTTTACTTAAGTAACATTTTGAAAACAGGAATTTTGTTGTAGTGGAGTTTTTTTAAGACCATAGTATTTTTACTTTTACTACAGTAAAGGATCTCAGTACTTCTCCCAACACAGCAGCACTGCAATCATTTAAATGTCAACTTTCATTAACCTGCGTTTATTAAAATAGCTAGCAACCTTAATGGCTGTATAACCCAGGCTAAATATTTACATTATGTTGGAATAAAGTACATCTCAATGTTTGTAAAATGTGTGGAATAACCAGTGGTGCAATGTTACAAGGTACATTTACTCAAATACTGTACTTAAGTATGATTTTGAGGTACTTTACTTTAATATATTTACATTTTCTCTAGCATAGTTCTTACTTTAATTGTTGATGCTTTATACACTTTGCTGAGTGATGATGCCTTTATATTTTTACATAAATAATATTTTCAACTAAGGACTTTTTCTTGTAATGGTGTATTTTGAGATTGTGGTATTACTACTTTACTAAAATATAGGATCAGAGTACTTCCACTTCATGTGCCAGTTTAGTGAGGGCTCTTTGGTGTGAGCACCTTTATATACAGTCTCTGCTTGTGTAGAGCCAGAGCTATTCTCGGCAGGCAACACCTTTAGACAGCTGATAATACTGTGTGTTAGGGATATGTTGCTTTTACACAAAATCTCAGTGCTGCAAATGCTGTAGGAAATTAT